CCCCCCCCCCCCCCCCATTTGTCAGTCTTGTTCTCAAGTTCTTCTTATCCCTGGTTGGCAGCTTAGAACATACTTAATAGTACTACAGGAGCAAACTTTTGAAAATATTATGAATCAAGGGGGAATAGGTAATGTTTTCCCATGCTCTATTAAAGTAATAAAAGGATGCTTCTCCTCACACACATACAAATTCATGCCAATGGAATGATAATTTGGTTTGGTGGTTACACATGTGAAACAGAAGTTGGAACTCCTTCTCCCTCCTTAATTAGATTTAATTATATTTTAAGCACTTCAGTCAATGGGTTGTTGTTATTTCATGGTGGGACATCTAAAATCCTTTTGTAAGTACTACTTTGCATCGTGGGACATTAAACTTCAAGTCATGACAAATTACAAAAATCTTTTTAGAAACTATGTCAGCAAAATCAATCTCAATGATCCAATTACTTCTCCTGCATCACCTCTGCTTTTCTGCTAGATAAAGATACAGTGGTACTCTTAAGGCATAGTGAGCCACCCTGAGCCCGCTTGCGGGGAGGGCAGGTTATAAATACAACAAATAAATAAATAATAAATTAATTAAATAGTCTTACTCCTTTAGTTACTAAAGATTTATTATGACATGAAGTTTTTGAACTACAGCCTATTTAATCAGATGTAAGAAGTGTATCCTAGTACAAAATTAGATACATGGTTTAGATCAGGATCATATGGTGAGCAAACTGAATCTTTGGGGCCCATTGTGGCTCTTGGGAGTTCCACCGAAGAAAGGGGAGGCAAGAGGACAAGAAAGTACAGCAAGAAGGCGAAGCAAGGGCAACCTATCTGGGCAGTTCAATGCAGAGGCTGATACAAAGTTGAATCGTATACAGAGAAGGGTAGCAGGTCTGTGCATGGTTGCATGCCACAGCTGACAGTACACAGTGAAACAGAGCACAAGCACAAGTGGAACACACAAAGCACCTGCTGACAGGGCCCGAAGCAGCAACCCAAACAGTAGGCTAATTCCAGAGGGAAAGAAGAGCAGAGAGATACATAATTTGTCTTTCCCTCTCACAGTACTGTGGCAGTATTGGGCAGATAAGAATTCAGATGATAGAGTCTTGGCTTGGTACAAGTAGAGGAGGGGAAGAAGTCAGGAGGAGGCTACAGTGGGTTTTTGGAGGCTGAAAAGAGTGAGTCAGAAAAGGGGAGGAAGCAAGGTAGTGCACTGCTTATAACTCTCTGGATCCACAATAATGTATATATGTAAAACTACATGTCTGTATGCACCTATGGAGTGGCGGTGGCTCCAGTGGTTAAGACGCTGAACTGCAGGCTGTGGAAGGTCGGTAGTTCAGCAGTTCAAGACCCGAGTGTGCCGCATGACGGAGTGAGTTCCCGTCTCTAGTTCCAGCTCCTGCCAACCTAGCAGTTTGAAAGCAAGAAATTGCAAGTAGATAAATAGGTACCACTCCAGTGGGAAGGTAACAGCCTTGGTGTTTAGTCATGCCGGCCACATGACCACGGAAATGTCTTCGGGCAGCGCTGGCTCTACGGCTTTGAAATGGAGATGAGCACCGCAACCCTAGAGTCGGATTCGACTAGCTTTCGAGCAAGGGAACCTTTACCTTTACCTATGCACCTGTCATCTGTGTAATAATTATTAATCACTCTCTGTATATGTGTATGAACATACTTTTTGCTCCTAGCAACACAGTAGTAGAAATCATCATGCCTACCCCAACCGAGAAGTTGCCCAGAACTAATCCCTCACAGTATTGATATTTTGAGAGATCCTAGTAGCCTCAAAAAAACAAGAAGCTTCTAAGACTAGGCCTGAGCAAGATCAAATCAGTGTATCCAAAAGGCAGAAAAGAACAAACTACGAGACTTTTTTAAAAAAGAAATAGTATGTAGAGTCAAGAGATGGAGTCTTGGTTTCTGTTAGCAAATGCTGACAGCCAAGCCCTTTAGTAAGGGCTGAAAGACTTGTGGCTAATTTAGTCAGAATTCTGCCAACCTCAGGTAGGTGTGGTATGGTAAGAACATAACAAGAGGACTGCTGGATCACACTTACTGTTCATCTAGTCCAGGATCTTGTTTCATATGGTGGCTAACCAGGTACTTTGCAGAGAATGGGGTTTTTAGTGCACATAAAAGGAAAGGTTTTAGTCAGTCTGGTCAAGTGGGTACAATCCCAGTACAGTTGATATTAGTAGTCTATACAGATGCCACAGGATACAGCAGTGTCACTCTGCATCCATAGAAATCAAAGTTACTAGTGACTTTCCACATAATACTAGATGTTCTGGCAGTGTATGCCTCTAGTTTTCTTCCTTTATGCAAATGACTTTCTAGGTTGCTGACCATTCTTGCTTAGACTTTTTCTTGTAATGAAACAACAATTATGTCTGAAGTAAGAGCTAAACCAGTTATGCCTTTACATGATAGCAGATAAAGTCCTGTCAGAGTTGATTACTGACAAATCTCTGGAATCAGTAAGGACTATATACATAGCTCATATAGTTTGGAATGCTTAATCTTTTAAAGGAAAATGAAACATATGATACACTACTACAATAGCTCCATACTGAGCTGCCAGAAAATTAAGAAGGTCTTAGTTCTGTTCTATAGCCTAGGTAACATGTTGTGGAGGTAAAGTTACTTAGTAGTGAAATGTACTTACGTGGTCTTAGACTAAATCAATATCATCAACTGGATGGAGTTAAATTGGAGGTCTACATTCCTCAGTAGGAATGGACCATGTACTTCTGACTTGTAGATTTTACCAGGATTTGCGCACTTATCACCTCGGCCCTATACTGCATACCCTGGAGGGCAAATATGAGGAAAGTAAGAGAATGAACCTTCTCGCCTCAAACAGGGCTGATACCATCGAAGAGGTGGCAAACTTCCTTTACAGAACGTATGGGAGGAGAATTTCTTTTTCGGCTGAAGGGGTAATGAATTAACTGTTTTGCGTGCCTACCGCCTCTGTACCTAAGGCTGCTGCTGTTGTTATGCCAATAAAGGTTTGTTATGTTGTGTTGTGAGGTCTACATCCCTCAGTAAAGAGATGTATACTTCCATCCATTCTAGAGAAAACAGAGAAACCCATCCAAAACTAAAATCTAAATCTGTTCTCTAAAATGTGTTAGGTATACAAATAGAAACTGTAGAAAGTAAGTGATCTGAGAAGATTACAACAATTTCCTTGTGTTAGGATATGATGACATTTCCTGCTGGTTGTAGTTGCAAGTAGGCCACAGAGGGAGAAACGATTCTGGCATTATCTTGAGTAGCTTTACTAATAGTGTGTTCTGTTAGCTGAATTATAGCACAACGCTGAGCAAAGGATTGATTCAGCAACACAGCAAATAATCTGGATTTATGCAGTTTGTATATTCAGCTGGTCAGTGTCAACCTTTTTTGTGCCTCTGACATTCTGCATATCAGCCTTTCATAGAAATCTGGATTCCTGATTTTAAAGAATGACATTTTCTTTTTGTTAATGGTAAGTGCAGTACAAGAGACAGAAGTGGCGTAAACGTTTGATACTTATTAACTTGCATAGGGTTGTAGTATTTAGAACCCTGAACAAAAAAAGAAAATAAGGATTTTCTTCATCCATTTCAATAGTTAGGCAGCAGGATTTTATATGTTATATACCATTAAGGTATTATTCTGACTTCTGCATACTGCATGTGCAATTTTTTAGTTGTTGAGTTCAATAGACCAGTTGAGCAGCTATTTGCATTAAACATTTTAACATTCTGAATTCATGCCAGTATAGGGTTTATCCTTTAAAATGTAGTACATCCTTAATACAAGCCAAGATTTTCTTTATATCATTGTAGGGCTCACTTGGAGGCAAGTGCGGAGAAGTGGAATAAATTGCTAACGTCACTGGAAGAGCTTCTCAAATGGCTGAACCTGAAAGATGAAGAGCTAAAAAAACAAATGCCTATTGGTGGGGATGTTCCAACTTTACAGCAGCAGTATGACCACTGTAAGGTGAGTTTTTGCCCTTTAACATACAGTTTCCACATTAGAAGACGCTTCTAAACTGACAAATCTTTTGTATATTGTATTTGGGTTCTATGCAACTTTTTGCGCAGCATGGTTATATCTGCTTAGAGTCAAGGAAGCAGCTGTGAAAATTAATGGATTTCTATTTTGTTTTCTATTCACATGCAAAAAGAGATATCTGGGATTTATTTAAAACATTATAAACCTGCCTTTTTGTCATATAATGGGTGGAAACCACAGGCAGTAACAACAATAAGATCAGAACAACTGAATTAAAACAACCAGGAGAAAAAAAAGTTACATAAACTCCAGGATAGAGTGTTGTCTTTCAAGACACACCCCAAACAATTCCCTTGAGGAGCCAAAGGCTCTTCTAAAGACTTCTGTTTTAAAAGCTCACCAAAGGTGCAAGAGAGATATAGATCTTCTATTTTTTTTTCTCCTGGGAGGCTATTCCTCAACATCAGAGTGGCCACAGAAAAAGCCTGTGATTGGGAAGGAGCAGAATGTACCCTCATGTGGGTTAGAACAACCAAAAGGCATTCATAGACTGTGTGAAGCTACCATATCCACTCATACCAGATGAAAGGATCCTTTTAGTATGGGAACTCCAGGTTATGAATGGTTTTATAGTTAAGTATCAGCACTTTGAACTGGAGCCAGAAACCAAGGGAAAATCAATACAAGTATTGCAAATTAGGTGTAATATGATCCCTGCAACCCAGGTTCATGGTTCTGGCTCCTGCTTCCCAATGCTATTCCAGCAGCTGGCAGGAAGGGAAAAAAATAAAATCACCAGGTGATGGTGTGACACCATTTCCAGAGAAACCCTGAAAGTGACATTAGTCTGCTCTAGGAATTCTGGTTTTCCCCAGAAGTGTCATCCTACTGTCACCCAACAGCACCTCCCCAGTTCCCAACTGCTGTCCAGTAATCCTACTGCAGCCCTCTCCAATATCAGACAGGCGGCTGCATTTTGTACCAGAGTAGTTTCTGAATTTTCTTCAAGGCTGCATGTTACAATAATCAGCCTCCAGGGTTACTGTTACATGGATTAGCGTGGCTGGACTGGGAGTCTTGAAATAAGGGAAGATTATGAGGCAAATGTAGGTGGTAGAAAGCATCATTAGCCACAGCAGACATGTCTTTCTCCATGGCAGAGCTGATTCTAACAAGGCTCCCCGGCTCTTTGTGGTGTTTATCGAAGAAAGTTGGTAAGACCACTCCCAATGCAGATGCCTTACTGACCAGCAGCACCTTTATGTTTTGGGGGATTCATTTTCATATTATTTTCTCTTAACTACTTGACCAATGGGCCACTGGTCCAGGGCAGATATGACAGCTGTTTTTGCAAGCACACATTCCCTGGTGGTTCTGACCTCCCTTCCAGCCATTTACAGTGTTCGTCAAATTATTTTTTTTAAGCATGTGAATGTTCATGCTTTTATTCATATGACACATTTATTTTTTTTAAAAAATCATAAAACATTGTTAAATATGACCATGGAAGAGGGAGAAAAAGGACAGTTGATTAGCCTTGTGTGTAGCCAGCTTTGCTGCAAAACATGCAGATCTGCTTTCCATCATGCTCAGTCCTGGAGAGGAATACATTTGTCTGTCAACAATATGGAGTGATAGCTTCCAGAGCGGCACTGTTTCTGTTTCTTGTGCATGTATGCATACTATATATGAAGACACATGTTGGAATCCATCGAAATTAGAAGCATCATATACTACATTCCAGAAATTTCCAGAAGCAAGACTGATAGTTACTACATGAAACTATTTTTACTCCATGAGATTAGAACTAAATTTTCAAGCTGTTTAGTTACTAGCCATAAATATTCATAATTTGCTATGATAGTAAAATCAATACATTCCCTGTTTATCTCATGTATAATTCTTGATTTCAGAAATCAGGTCTTTTCCCCATAGTTTGTTTAAATACAAAGCTGTTTGAATTGGGTTTTAGGAGGAACATTTGTTTGCATTAAATACTGATACATTTTAGCTCAATTGTATTATTAAAAGTCAATAATATGTGTATTTGTACTGAAAATATACCTTACCATCGTGAGGCACATCTTAAATCTGAATTTTTAATCAAACCTCTATGTATTCCTAAAAAATGATTGAAATATACCTCCAATGGTAACAATTTATCAAAAAACACACTATATAAGCCCAGCTGAAATAAATGTGAGCTGAAAAAGAACAAGCACGAACTTGTCAGGTCTCAGAAGTTGGGCAAGGTCAGCTCTGGTTAGTATTTTAGATGAGAGACCACCAAGGAAGTCCAAGGTCAGGACACAGAAGTAGGTGATGGCAAACCACCTCTGAATGTCTCTTGCCTTGAAAACCCCAGGGGGTCACCGTAAGTCAGATGTGACTTGAGGACAAAAGATTTTTCTAGCACCTAGCAATGGTTTCTAATGCTTGCTATTGTCTTGGAGAAATCAATTTTAAAGAGCTGCAGTTTTTAAATCATCATGCTTTTATAGCTCAGACAGTAGCAGAGCTCGTGGACCTCATAAATGTTCTAATAAACACCCTTTTTGAAAAATATTTTGTATAAATGTTTACATAGAGGTTTAGACTGCCTTCTGATCTAACCTCTTATAGAAAAGACTAATATTTGCTGCCCTAAAAAACTGCCTGGAGATAAATTGATGACCACAGCTGGAAGGCTGATACTCTGTCTGTGTGGGATGATTTATGCTGATGTTCTGTTGAATTGTGCCTGTTTAGTATAATAATGGTATGATTACACTAACTTTTTATAACTAGTATTTGTGCAAATTTTGTTGAAATACTTTTGTCATGAACAAAACAGACAACATCAGTGACTGGATCTTCCCTGTGTCTTTAAAAGTTAATTTCAGGCTCTTGGGACTTTAGTTTGGATCAAGGTCACTCAAGGAGAGGAGGACCATTTCTTCCACCCCTCCACAGTTTTGCCTATCAAAACTGCCCCCATACAGTCTTGCTAGTCCAGTCTTGCAGGAGTGGTCCTGTTGATGAAATTGTGCAATGGTGAAGGATTAGACCTCTCTCCCACCAGCATACCCCTGCTTTGAACTGGGGCTTAGTTTACAGTACATGAAATACCTGGAAAATAGCCTTTAAAGACACTGGAAATCTATGGTTTCCATTTTATTTTGCTCGATCCTAAAAGAACTGTTCTTCATATTATTATTTACTACTGTGGGATTTTCACGGTCCAAGCAATAATTATTAATGCATGTGAGCATCAAATAGATCAAATGAACTCTTAAGAAACAAGTGTTCAGTTTTTGAAGCGTGATGATTGGGGATAGAGGGTGCTGGAATGAAAAGAGCAGTAAAGAAGGATGATTAATATAGTTGCTGTTACAGGTAGCACCCCTCCCCCGTCGTACAAAATGTGAACCAGGATGAACCTCCTAAATGAGACATCGGCACCATCACAAGGCAGAATAATTTTTCGGAATAATAATACTATATCCTGAAGCCAAAGCAATTTGCACACAATATAATATTACATTTTGCATACTTTTAGTCACTTGTTGACAATATCTAATTTTCGTTCTCTATTCATTCCTGATCAGTATGCTGAGAAAAGGGAGATTTTTCTGCCATGTTGAGAAAAGGGACATTTTCCTCCATGCTTGGGGGTCCCCCTCAGGATTGCAGAAAAATTCCAAACATTACACTAAAGTGGGGTGTTAACTCCTCCAACAGAGGTTAATTTACAGGTGTCACCTGCTAATGGATGGGGAGCCATCCATGAGGGAGCACTGAGTGGGAGTGAAGCAGGAGCCACCAAGAATACTGAAGCCAGTCCTGCCAGTCCTCTTCCAGCTGGTGGGTAGAGCATGAGCAGGCAATGCCGTGGCTCACCCCTGAAGTGGTAATGCTTCAAGTGGAGGGGAAGGAGGAGGGAGAGACACCATCCCCTGCATCTAAAGCTAGTTCTGCCTTTCCTCCATGAGTGGGCAAGGAGGAAAATGAGCTGCTACCATCTCCGCACCATGTAAGCCAGGCGAGCATTCAGACAAGGGATAAGCAACCTGATAAGTTACTGGCCCAACAGCCAAGTCAGGAGGGGCAGGCGAGCATTCAGACAAGGGATAAGCAGCTGCACTGGTATTACTGGCAGGCAACCAACCTGATAAGTTACTGGCCCAACTGGAGGAGAGGGTGAAAGAGAGTGAGAGACAACAGAGAGGGCAAAAAAGAGGGACAGAAGGGGAGAAGAACGAAAGAGAGACTGTATGAAAGAAGAGGAAGGGAGAAAGATAGAGAGAGAGAGAGACTGTGAGAGAGAAGGGATGGGGGAGGAAGCAAAAGCAGGGGGAATGGGATGTCCCTTTCCCTCAGGGTCTTTGTGACTCTCTGCTTGTAGGTTATAATTGTCATGTCCATTCACTTGGCCACATTTAGTTCCGTTACTTGAAGTTATATCTCTGGTGACTTCTTACTGTTTTAATTTGTTGTTCTCACTTCAAAATAAGTAATGACAGGGTTTTTTGTTTAATGTTGTTCATTTAATGGCTCTCTCCTTCTGTTCCGTTTCCCTAGAGTACTGCTTCAAAAGCACTATGCAAATAAGCATGGTGAAATGCAATTTTAAATGTATTCACTTGATTCATTTGTGTGCTACCACAATGTGCTTGAGTACCAGAAAAATATATATTAATTTTCTTAATTTGTCTTTAATTTGTATTATCAGCAGTTATGTTCTCTGTAAAGAAGTTTATATATGGAGACTCTACAGACACAAGGGATACTGACACTGAAAAATAGTAGCCATTAATAAATGCATGTTCTTCCAAATTGTTTTGACTTCATAAAGCTTTATCATCTTTCTATCATCAATATTACCACTTTATCCCATGGTAGGTGCTTTCCCTAGCCAGTGATTGCATAGCACAATTTGGGTAATAAGCCATTATTCTCCTGGTCTGTTGTGGAGCTAGTTTGGTGGCAAATGTATGAGCTAGTAT